GTTTAGAATTGCATTGAACTTTTTGGTAACCTTGGAGAAGATTACATTGTCTAGATTGCCTACTGATAGAATGCGCACACATCAGCAAAATCCAGGGAACAATGTAAGAAATGCAACATCTTTAAGCTACCTCGCCCTTCCACAGTGCAAAGTCCTCCGATCACGACACTTCATTCTGCCCGGTAGACAGAGTGAAATGCTAAAGCGCCATCAATGCTGGGCATTGCATGAGGCAGGCCAAATCTCTGATCTACCAACAAAGGGTCAAATAAGTGAATGCCTCACCTTCATACGTCTCTGGCACCACACAAGTGTCGTCATACACACAACTCAAGTTGCTGCCCTCCACCAGATACCCTGCAACAGGCAGTCCAACCAGGTCAAATGAATACTTAACCTTTATCATTCATTTAAATTGTACACGCTCACATGGCCAGAGTAAGCGCATGTGCGTTGAAGAAGTGTGTGGGGGTCGAACCGTTTATTCTCTTTCATGCCGATGCTTGCTCACTGTCATCAAAATACAGGGCAATATGATCAGCGACTGTGGGATATTGACGATCAATACATTGTGGCAATGCTTAAATTATCCTACAACACATCCTGTGGGTTGGGATGTACACATTAACAATTTGACCCGCAACAAATATACCAGGGGCGGTTTCTTCATTAGGGCGATTGGGCGACGCACCACCAATGTCATTCAACCACAGAGTCACGCTAGCCGTCACTGTGCCTCTGGATATAGTCCAATCAGCGTCATGTCCCGTTCTGTGGAGTACCGCCTCTTTTGGGGCGATTTCACTACGGCTGAGAATCGCCCCGAGTGGCCCCATAGACTTACATTGAAAGATGTTTTTTTTCGACCGGGGGCGCTCCAATGCATTCTCTATGGCTTCCGGGAGGGCTCGCCCTACAGTGCTTACGTCATCATACGTGCTAACGTCATCGCTACCTAGTGGAATCTTTAATAAAATAAACTTGAGTGGTTTGTTTTAATAGTGAGTATATAAACAAACAAGATGTATTGTAAGAGTCACTTTATTTTTCATTAATATTAAAGAAGTGAAGTTGCCTTTACATGCTTAAGCTGTTAATTTATCCATTGCATGGGTGGACCTTATCCTTATCAATCATCCAGACATTTGCCCCCCCTGAGAGATTTTGCAGGAGCCGCCACTGAAATATACTCCAAGGTGTATCTCGTATTCTTCACATGCCACGTCCAAGAATAGAATTGCAAAAAACCGAATTGCAAGTGGACATGAGCAAGACACGATGTTAAAAAGTGTGTGGTTATGCTCACTGCTGACAGTTTCGAGGCAAAGTCGTTCAGAATTGTTTGGGAAAATCTAGCCTGCATGTCCTCTTGTTGTGTCCATGCGATTGTTTTAGAATGTTTCATCTAAACAGCATGCCCTGCTGTTGTGTCTGTGTTGCTAGCAGTCGTCAGAAATGTAATCAAATCACATTCACACTGGCAAATAAAACGACATAATGCAGAAGAGTTTAGCTGAGGTTCCTCAATCACGATATGTCATTGCTCTTGCAAAGGCCAGCTGCCAACATGTCAACAATAGTGTGTTTTCCTGTCGTCTCAGCATGAGATTACATTTCATAGTCGTGCTCTTGTCAACTATTTATCTCAATTATAGTCAGGAGCAGTGAGAGGGAGATTCGAGGGAAGAGGTGTGGATACAAATGCTTGGTTGGAACATCGAAGGCAAATAAAAAAGTATGTAGTGTTAGAAATTTCCTTTGTGAACTGATAGTTTTAACACCTCAACCTTTGCAAAGGTACATATATATATTTCATAATAGTGCAATAATATAGCACGTGGTTTAAAAATAAATCAAAGTCAAGTATTGCTTACACACAAATGTAATACGAAAGCACCAAAGGAAGCACAACACAATACTTTATTTTGAAGAATCTGGTTGTTTGTTTTCTCTCATTATTTCGCCATATCCTTTTAAAACACCGTACAGTACTTTCCAACTGGAAAGAGTCCCTGATGTGGGCACGCCTGCCCTCTGTTTGCCAAGCAAAGCACCTGGCTGTTCCCATGAACTAAACCGGGACAAAGCACAGAACCTTTATTGTGCACAAGCAAAGACAAAGATCCCCCGTATAGCCTTAACATGCTGTTGGGGCAAGTGCTGTTAGCAAGCATCTATGAAGGCCGGCACAGCACACGAGGGGGTGTGTGGCCAGCAACACGCCCGGCCGCCTTTGTCTCCCTAGTGACGATGTTTACACACTGCACCAGGTACTCATTTGAGGCCGAGTCGACCTAGGAAGGCCCAGGACCGGTTCAGATAATCGTCACTGGTGTTGGCCCTGAGCGGGAATCGAACTCGGGTCGCCGGGTTCGTAGCACAGCGCGCTAACCACTACACTACCGCTCCCCGTAAGGACACACACACACACTGTGATTCTTATTCATATATATCTATATGGCACACAATCTTTTGTGTTTCACACACTCATGATCTGTGTACATATATAAAGTTCTCCATACACACGCACAAAGGTCATCAATTTAACCTTTATGAACTGTCAAAGAAAGTGCTGCAGTGAGCACCTGCCAGGGTTGAAACGGAACATGAGGGTGTGATGTGGCCAGCACAATGTCCAGCCACATTTGCCTCAAAAAGTGCTGATGTTACACACCACGTCAAGTATGCTTTTGTGTCGAGTCAACTCCGTGATGGTACAGACGAGATAACGTTTGTCACTGGTGCTGTCTGATTGATCAGCAATAGAAACTGGATCGCCAAAATCCTAGAAAGTTGCATCAATCCATTTAAAACGATTAACTAAACTATTTAACCAGGTAAGGCCCAATGAGCTATATAGCTCTATTTCAGAAGTGACCTGGTTACAAATGATAGTGCAATTGAAGTGGCTTATCATGTGAACATTGAGAAGCAGCCAAAAAACTCTAATCGCATGTTTCTAAATGTGGAGGGGAAAAACCAGAGGACCTGGAGAAAATCCAAGTGACCACCAGAAGAACATGCAAACTCCAAATATATACCTACGACCTCCTGTATACCAGGCGAGGTAGTTAACAAGAGACATAGATTTATTAGCGAGCGCCTACGAAGACCGGCACGACACGCGAGCATGTGGGTGGCCAGCACCAAGCCAAGCCCCCTTAATCATCCCCAGTGGCAATTTTTACACACCATACCAGATACGTATTTAAATAAGCGGACATAGGGGAGGCCCAGAACAAGTTCAAATATTCTCCAATGTTATTGTTCATCGGCAAGTAATCGAACTCGGGTTGCCTGGTTCGCAACGCAACACACTAACCACCACACGCCACTAATCACTTCCACACACAAACACACACGCACACACAAACTCGCACTGTCTATAATAAAGCACACCACAGTGGAGAATCAGCCACTATAATCATCTCAATGGACACTAAGCCCAAAACAAAAAGGCATTAAGACCAGCCAACTCAACTCTTGGAACATTGGTGTATGGCTTACAATGTGCTTGTTCACCGATGAGCTCACCACACACACACTCATTCACACACACTCACACAAAGACACAAGTTCCACATTAAGCCTTTACAGACTGTTGGGGCAAATGCAGTATGCCACCGCTGCGGATGGCTGCTGAATAAAAATACTTGTTTTTCTATGTGGAGGGGCAGATATGTGAAAGAGGCACATTAGTTTTGTTACCCACGAAGGCCGACCGAGTACACGAGGGGGCGGGTGGCCAGCACCACGCCCGGCCGCCTTTGTCTCCCTAGTTTAGGAATCGAACTCGGGGCACCGGGTTCGTTGCGCAGTACACTGACACCCATGGTCAATCCACTGCTGGATGAAAACCCCCTCGCCCCCCCCCCCCAAGCTGTTGCCACCTCTCCTGGTCGATCTTGAATGCAATAAGTCATTCAGCACTTGCACATGATCTGATTTCCTTACTCCATATCCTTGGTGGACGTCCTCTTGCGTGAATTCCATTCATTGGTTGCTGCGCCATTATTATTCTTGATCATCATCCACCGTCCCTTCTTGACATGACATGTCCTGCTCAAGCCCACTGACACGAATGGGTGTTTCTGTCTGACTGTGTGGCTTTGTCTGTCTTCACCTCTTTTTGTGTCCCTGTGTGCGTCTGTCTCTGCATTTTAGTTTCTGTGTCTCGCCTTGTGTCTCTCGGATAGACACAAGGAGAGACACAGAGACGTGCGGAGATATGAAGACAACCACATGTCTTTGAGGCACAGCTTGTTTTTGTGCAAGAGATCCTCCTGCTGTGATTGAAGACTCCGCTTAAGCACAATTATTACACGGATAAATGGAGTTGCTCACTAAATAACATCTATTATCTTCAGGTTATCCACAAGCATTGGCTGTCTATTTTTCTGGCAAACACTGCATGTCACAGCTCCTACTTATCCAGGATCGTTGCAGATAAGAGGGGCCATGCATCAAATTTATCCTATTATGCGTGAATTTACCTCCACAGATAAGTGGGGTAAACCCCGGGGATAACCTGCATATAATAGGATACTTTATATGGATCCCCCATATCAAGAGAGATAAGAAGAGTTCTCTTGTGATATTAATTTAGTGAAGAATCTCTAAAACGGACCATCCTGTATACGTCAGGTCTGTGTATACACACACACACAGGAAGTACGCTTCATCTGGGCATTGCCAACGCCCATTCTCAATCTTGGTTGCTCGTGCACATGCAGGTAACGAAGCCTTCTCTCACAACACTGCACACATACAAATTAGCCACATTGCCAACCACTGGACACAGCAACGTAGAACTCTACTCGCACAAACATTTTGCCGGTATAAATTGACCCATGGGCGGATGAACATGGCGACGACGTAAAATAAAACTAGAATGGAACATTACGGAAGTAACTTTCACAAGTAGTTTTTTTTAGATTGGCATGACAGCGGCACATTGAATGGTTTGACTGGTTTAAGTATTAATAGTATCAAAAGCATACCTTCTGGAATGGTTGGGTAATGGGCATGGCTGTCTCCTGTCAGGTATGTGGATGGGCAGCAGGAAAGATCTGGAAAATGTGAACAAGCAACAAGTGCCTTTAACGTTTCAGCTCATCGAATGCATTTTACAAGTGACGCGTGAGGCATTAATGAGATCATCACACACACACATTTACTTTACTCGTGCAGCTCTGTCATTAAAAGAGTAGAGTATGCAATGTACATCACGAAAATGCATACATATGAAAAAATTGCGAGGTGAGAATGTTGCACACCGAAGAAAGCTTTTTACTCGAAAATTAACCTTTCGTGCATAAATGCTTGACGTGCATATAGCATGCATAATTTACTCGTGACAGAGTCGTCTTTAAATCAATGAGACTTATTCGCAAAACAGTGCTGCGATCAACAAAACCGAAGATGTGAAATGGAGGCTCGGAGAGCCATTTCCAATTGGATGGCTTGCGCTTCAAGGGCAATGTGCCTTCTGTGCCGAGAAAAAGCGAATTGATTAATCTGCATTGGGAGATGTCTGTGGGGCTGGCATTCAGCTCTTAATGGACGAACAACATGGTTGCACCTTTTTCCTGAAATAAACAGGCAGAATACATACACCGTGCCATCAAGTCAATGTTCACTTTGGTTTTGCACGGCTTCCTACAAATTGAGCAGCTGGTGGCTAATAAAAATATTTTAAGTAATCTTCAATGGGAATTTGTTTTGGGAAAAGGCTCTTGAAATGGAGATTCGTTATTTAAACGTAGAGAGAGAGGAGGAACGCATCTCGAATACAATATTACAAATGTTGGATTTGCTTGCGTGCATAAATCACAAGCTGCTACCAATATTTGATCCACTCTTTACAGTCACTCTGTTTGATTGCTTGGCTGTGGTTTTGGTTCATGAAGTGCTTTATGGAAAACAACAAAAATTCACTTTCAATTATTTCTTTGAACCAACAGCGTGCAGTTGTAAAGCAGTTCTAAAATCTATCAGCCAGCTTCAGCACCAAAAAAAGCACACTTGATAATGACTTGAAACCATTACTATATCGAGTGTTCAATATTTCCCTTTATATGCTTGCATCCCCTCTTCTATTGTAGAGTTAGAGGAGACAAACACACACATCTCGTCCTTTCAGCCAAATGGTCTGGAAAATCTTCAGTATTATGAAAATAAACCTCTCTGCGCTCAGGAAAAGATTTTCGCAATCATATTTACGAATGTTTCCCCCTTACATATTTACGTTTGGCATTCAATACCTAAAAGCGCACATGCATAACTGAAGCAAATTGGGTGAAAGACGAGTGAAGATGTCGGCAACGTCCAGCCACAGACGCCTGCTGACCGTGCTCGTAGCTGAAGTCGGACGGCTCGCGCTTGATGTGCATGGACGGAGGCGGCGGCGGCGGCGGCGGCGGGAAGGGACCCTCGGGAGGCCCGTCCGTCCCACCCCCAGCAGCGCCGCGGTCGTACAGAGCGTCGCGGTACTCCTGCTTGAACGCACGCGGCGGAGGCGGCAGGGACAGTGCTGGCAGGGTCAGCTGAGGCCGAGTTGAAGCGTGTGCTGGGATTGGAGGCAAGGAAGAGGCCTGCTGCTGTGGGAGCTGAGGGAGGGATGGGGCCTGCGACGGGAGCGAAGGCAGAGGCCGAGCTGCGGGGGCCCCTGGCAGAAGTGGCTCGGACATCTGGCGCTGGTACGGCGGCCGCTCGACGCAGGGCGCCCCGCGGCGCACTGGGTAAAGGTGGCATGGCTCCGACAGCTGCCTCTGCACCCTGCCATCGCGAATGAGATGGGAGAATGTCTCGCGATGAAATGGTGGAGAAATATACGAACGGCATCGAATTTCAGTCTGCAAGGCATACATTCACTTACGTGGAAATATATTCAAAACACACTATAAATAAGCAAATAACGTTCTGAAGATAGCTGCAAACATGCTTAAAATGTCTGTGCCATTACAGAAATATATGGTATTGCAAGCTTCACCAGACTTAAATTTAGACGAGCTGGTGCAAACACTGACAGTTTACATATCCCATGCTGAACACAACACATCTCACGAGATTAACTATGTGTGCTCCATTTAATGTGGAATAATGCAAAGAGCAACAAAACGAACCATCAACAAAATATTTCACAATATGCCCACTGCTTAAATAAAGAGGGGTTTTCGTGGATTTTTACATACTGTAACTAGGTTCCTGAACTCATTAAGTGATTTGCAATTATTGAAAGTTTAACATATATTTAAAAGCGCAAAACTGTACGTACAAGTTGAGCCCACTGGGTTGTATAGCTGATATGAAAGATTAGTGTCAAACAGCAGTACTTTCATTGCAAGAAATACATCAGGTTTAACTTAGCTGAACATTACACGCCTTTCTCAATAAACTACTGTATAAAGGCACCCCTATGCTGTCAATCGTCAGGGTTGTTTGTCCATATTTCACCATGCGAGACATGACTGGTTTGTGAAGGGGGTGGCCTGGGATCAGTTCAGATATCACTTGCCACTGATGTTAGCTCAGTGTGAAAACCAATGTGTCCCCAATGATATGCATGGATGTATTTTGTTCTCAGACGTAAAATTACATACACATTGCTTTTTGTAATATGCATTCCAAGTAGTTGTAAATAATTATCTTTACAAGTAGACGTTGATGTTTAAAACATCGCTACCTTGTGGGCCATAGTGGATGACATTAAATAATTATATAACGTGTTCAAATAACGATTTCAAACCTTGCTAAAGTTATATTGGTTCAGGTTTATTTACATTTCAATCTCCAAGTCATTCACCAAAATTAACAAGCTTTCGCTCATGTATTTAATATTGTGCTGGATGTATACTATTGAAATTAGGAATGATGCAAGAATGATAAAAATGCCCGTTTAGCACATGCTTTACAAATAACTCCTTTTGCAGATGTGACACCACTTTAGCACCCGCGCTACATGGGAGAGAGGATCAGGCGATACGCCGATCTCATATGATACCACCCGTCCCTTCCATGCCAAGAAAGATGACCTTACTCCACAACCTGTCACAGTGTAGCATAGCAAATGTGCAGCAGGTGGGCATTTTCCTCTTGGCTTGCTTTACCCCATCGACTCTGCTAAACGATGCTTCCGGTCTGTTAGCGAAGCAGGAAGCAGGAGCCAAAACATTCCGGGTGGACCCGGGTGTCCATTTACAAGGAGCCTCACCTGTGCTCGGGCAGATACTGTGGGTGAGTGCCAGCCTGTCCGGACTGGCATTGAACAGGTGGAAACGGAGAGGCAGGGGGAGGGTGGGAAAGCTGAAACCTCCGCTCCTTTCCAGGAATATGGGGTGACAGGGGCATAGGCGTAGACACGGGCGGAGGGAGGCCCATTGCAGTTGGTGGTCCTCCTCCCACAGATGATCTTGACCGGTTAGCGGGTGTGATTCGGTTGAGCATGGAGCCAGCTGGGCCGGTGGGAGAGATGAGATTCACATGGCTCTGGCTCGAGAGGACACCGGGTGGAGTGGGCGGCAAGGGAGAGCGCGACACTTGGTATCTCATCTCCGCGTGCGTCGACTGAATGGAGCCGGGATGCATGGGTGTGGCCACGCGGACACAAGGAGGAGTAGGCGGTGGTAACATCGCCGATTGTTTCTGATCGCACAGCCTGGATGGCAAAAACAACAGGGGGTGGATAAAACACAGTTAAAATGCAATGCACGGATAACTGCCAAACATTTAATTCCGTTGGATTTACAAATGGAAATGCATTTCACATGACAGTCGTTAAGAAATATTAATTATGTAGATCTAAGATTCACGTTAAATATATTTACCATTTGATGTTATTACGTCAATAAGTATCATATTATATATCTTTTAAGATAAGGGGAGCTTAGCCTGCCATGACTTGTCTTGGAAATCCATCTAATTTTAACTACCTTTATATTTTTCAGATCTGTTTCATTAACTATGCAAAGCAAAGATGGCTAACGCATACAAAGAGAAGATTACTATGTCTAATTCCTCCTCGGCTTGTCGAATTATGTAGCCAATTTCAGTTTCTGTGATAACTGGCATTTTAATTAACACAGAGATGTCCTGACATTTAGCGTATTATAGACGCTGCTTATTTGATGGGGGACACACCTCGCGAAATAAATTCCTGAACACGCTAAAACACATGACATAAGATTAAATTCATATCTTTGGAAGATTTATGTAACAGTTTATATCAGCATGTCAAATCATAAAGGTTGGCTAATTTACCACACTGGCGATAATATCACACGTGTTCCTACGGCACCTGAAACATACATCTGGATTTCATCTTAATTGGCAGTGTTCCAGGAGCAGATCTGGATGAGTGTTCTCAAAAAAAAAGTGACGGATAATTTTTCCGTAATGATTTTTAAGATGGCATCACTATTGCTTTCAGCATGAACACCACCTGCTCACATATTCTCGGTTAAATGTAAGTTTCGTTGAACCACTAAGGAAAATAGTTAAGATGTTCATGTATTCTTGCTATTATTATTACGCACTTAAAATAGATTACACGTGTAATATTTATCTTCAAATAGATGACGTAAAATAGATTATATATCAATCAGTAAATCATTAAATAAAATAACTCTGCTTATTTGTTAGATGTAAGGAACGACATTAATGATGCTCAGCAGTAGGTTAGAGGTGGATAATAACGGCAACGCATTGCATTCAAGACGGTGAAACAGCAAACCCTGACGACGGTGGAATAAAATGCGCCACCAATTCAAACGGCATGAGTGGGATCCTTTGCCCGCCTGTGCACAATGTGATAGATGTGCATTTGTACATTTACACTACGAGACCTCCTTTACCAGTGGCAAAATGTAGTAGTAGGTTTTTACCCTTTAAACTGGTACAAAAACTGACACCTTTATACAAGGCATCATGTTTGCAATAACCACAACACAAGCAGTCAAAATGCAAACAAAAATAAACAACTCTGATAATTATATGCACTGTCCTTGAAGTTGATTGGTCCACACCCGAGACAGCTTTTCTTAGAGCCTAGTCTCCATTGGTGTTGGACCAGATGACGCCAAAAGGCGTACAACTCAAAAACAGCGCACTATCAGAGTATTGAGAGCTCGGGGTAAGCATTTACACTATGAGACCTCCTTTACCAGTGGCAAAATATAGTAGTGGGTTTTTACCCTTTAAACTGGTACAAAAACTGACACCTTTATACAAGGCATCATATTTGCATTTTGACTGCTTGTGTTGTGGTTATTGCAAACATGATGCCTTGTATAAAGGTGTCAGTTTTTGTACCAGTTTAAAGGGTAAAAACCTACTACTACATTTGTACATTGTTGGAGCATTGCTATAGTTGTCAAAGAAAGAGCTTTTGTAAAACCTAACAGCACCCTGCAATTGTGCGACATTATTCCCTCCCGCCACCGGACTTATGCAGCTAGACGTTATTGAAAGTGGAGTTTTTTTGGAGCGCCTGCCAATGAGGCATCGTCACGGCCACATCGCGCCATACCTTGGGATACAGCTGGACGCAGCCTGGCAAGAGTTCGTGCAGACTGTCCTGTTGCCCATGAGCCCGGCTTGCCGCACACAGCTGGAGCTGGGACCCAGGGCGCACGTGAAGCCACACGATTCCTTCTTGATCTTGGCCGAAGGAGGGCCATGGAAAACCACTGTACCCCCACAAGAACCCACAGAGAAATATACCACAAAAGCTTTTTTATTCATGTTTTCATCCATGAAACCACACTGTATTGTAGGTTTTTTTTTTAAAGATGTTTTCAGCCAATTAATGAGTGTTTATAAGTGTGGGATTAAATCGGAGCACCCGGAGAAAACACACGTGTGAGGGGGCAGCACTCTATCCCTCTATGGCACCTCAATGCCCATGGGCAGGGAATTTTGCAACATTTTTGTGAGGCACTAACCCTCTCTCCTCCACAGTGCTGGATTATCGGAGGGGTTCTGTTTGAGACGTTTGGTCAAATATTTTTGCGGGTAGGAAGAAACTGCAGTTTATACAAGAGGCGATGGCTTATAAGAGGTTATGACGAAAAAAAAGTACGAGAAGAAAAGTCAGCAACCCATTTGCCATACTTACACCCCACTGCGATTTGCAGGCGGGTGTCTCTCATACAATCGAAGTGTGATCCACCGATGTCACTTTATATACGGTAAAATACAAGCACGTGTGCCGTCTTAATTTTGAAGACCAAAAATGCTCCTAAAAATGTATTTTGATGTAAGGTCACCCCGCAGTTGTTAAGAATACATATTTTCATGTTTAAAATTATTTATTCAATAAAAATGTTTAATAATTACGAACGCTTACACTGAAACACATTTATCAAAAGCATACGAAAAAACATGATTCATCTAAAAAATATTATTGCTAAAACATTATACATTATTTCAGATGACAATGTAAAGTAAAAATTACACCGCTACAAACAACAGAACCATCAATCTACTGTATATTGCTATTTAGTAAATTTTGGTTCTTTTTTAATTCAATAATACGTTGAGATTGGAAACAAATATCTCACAGAAAATATATAAGTTTACGTTCTGAAGAAGAAAAAAAATGTACACAAACATCCATTTTGAAAATGTATTTCGTATTAATCTAATGCCAACCGCTTACTTGACATTTGAAGCTCATTATCTGCTGCTCTGGCTAAGAAAGCCTATTTTTGCATGATTATGGGATACAACAATTGGACAGACCATCTGGCTAGAAGCGTAGCATGGTCAATGCATTTGTAAGATTAACCCCAATAACTTCCATAGATGTTCAGGACAAAGTACCAATGAAACGACTACCAGATGTGAGTAAACACAACAATACAACAATCACACATTTCATAAGTCTTATTTTTTTTAAGTCGACAGAATTCTTCTTTTTTACTTTATTCCACAAATATACCTGAAGGGTCCATTTCCAATATGTGTCAAGTCCTAAAGACCCAAGGCTTATGTGGCCATTAGTTACATGGGAGAGTGGAATACATTTTTAATAATACATTACAGGTATTTATGGGCTATCCAGTATGGATTCATCAGACACTTTTATCAATGTTACATTCATAAAATCTGCTTTCTTGCTTTTACTGCTGAGGCCATGATTATTATCCATGGTTGCAACAAAAAAAACATGCTAGCTTGAGGGAATACTATTTGTGCCAAAGATGTCTACGGTAATAGACAGGGCTGAGGCAAAACATGTTGTGTAGGCCTAAGAAAATGCAATATATACTCCAGTCAGATCGACATATTACCAAAATATGTAAATTAACATATCACGTGTCGTGTAATCAAGGGCGCATTCGGGCGAATGGAATATAATTGTGTATTTATGTAGGAGGCCACTATTCTTGAGCCATTTACACATAGGCATGCACCTAAAGAGACGGTGTATATCTGTGTATGTCCACTTCAAATGCTTTGGTCAGCACTATCATGCTACTAACCTTAAGGATGTCTGAGAAATGTACTCTCTAACTTAATAAATTACTTTGACATCTTTGGTAGAGAGCATTTAATAAACTATATACTGGCAACACTGCAATTAGAATCAATCACCAAACTGTAGCTATGACAATTAAGGTGGATTATTGCTGTGACGGAGAAAGAATAAACATTCCCATTTATAATGCTTTACCCGTCATGAATAGCTGCTGTCAGTGCACCGAGGAAAAACTAAACACGACACAGATAACACAATTTGTGCACAAAGTGGGATAGAAAATATTTTCTGTTATAAACCGTTCGTTTCATATCGTGCGCTCGCCGGAGGAGACAAGCAGGGGGCCTCTTTGTGTTGACCGAATCGTGACCCCCCTCTCGACCGGCAGCATAAAGTCGGGCCTTGTGCGCTGCACTCTCTGGACTGCACGGCGAGGCGAGCAAAGAGCGTTCTCTGTGTCCACTGGCCCCTGCACAGAGTCTGAGATGCAGGTGTCAGCCTGCAACACTGGCATGTGAGCAAACGCCAGCCACACGGGATCACCCGCTCAGAGCAAAACCAGCGCCAAAGCCCTCTCCGTTTGCCAAGTTCAACAAAACGCTGCCTTTACCGCCAGCTTTAGGCAATGCCTTTCCTGTTAGGGCGCAGGCATTGGCGTTTTTCCCTCTTCTGAAATTCTCTGGGGGGGGTAAAACTAAATAAATGCTGCCATTTGTATTTTAATGAATAGTTAACAGTGTAGGTTTTAGTATAAATGTACAACCGAGGTTAAACTACTCATCGGCACTCACAAAGGAATGCACCGAAAAATTATTAAACCGGCTTAACAGACTTAAACAGCTATTGAAACACAATATCTAAAAAAAAGTTATCGCTCTCAATGTAAAATTGTGTTTTGCTATGCCAAAAAACCACCCATTAAAATATTTAATGAAATGTTACATTGCAAACATATTCATGATTTTATCAGAATGAAGTAAAACAGTTACTGAAATAAAAATAAAAACAGCTGTCCCGTCTGCAGAATAAATCCTTCAATATATAAACCCATTACAGTATTTGAAAATTAACATATACAATCCAAATAATCATAATCGCTATATACGATTAATGCAGATGTGTACTGTATTTAAAATGGATTTTACCGAGCCAATGCATTTTCAAATGGACTCATTTATCATACAGTATACTTCTGATTCCATCTCTGAATAGATTTGTAACTTGTAATATGTCGTAATGCTGAATTTTAAACATGCAATGGCCATTGAAGAAGTATTCAAATAATCTCACAAATGTGCATATAATCTAGATATCTCAACCATGAAATCTGAAGCTCAATAATGAAATATTATGGACTGGTCATCCTGCCCCCCCCATGAAAGCAGAATTCCACCATTCACTGCTAAGTACTCACATTGCCAAAAACCCAAACTGTGCTCACAATGGCCTGGTATGCACCGTGGCTTGTGTAAGTGCGCGCCTACAAAATATAACCAACCCCAGATGATTCCACGCTCTGCTTCATCCGCCTGAGCCGCAGCAGACAAAACATCCGGAAGCCCGCAGTACAAACATCAAGGCCTCGGCCACTGTACGATATTAAACATAGCCTCTATGGCGATAAAAACATATATTTTTTTCACCACACATGCCTGAAGCAAATACACTCTATCTGTACTTGACAAACGTGTACACAGCATTCTACATAAAGGCGCACATCGTGAAACTAACTGCTTCACTAAGACACGCCTTCAGAATTTAGTGGATACAATATTTTGAGTGAGCATTTTTAACTAGATTTAATGTTACACTTATACAAACATTTCAGATTAATTCTTACATTTACGCATCAGTCCTACAATGGTTCAATAGTTAAATAAATGTGTTCAAGTGCTGGTCATATCTAACGGATGCATTAGAATTCACTTCAGTCAGTAGTAAAAAAGAAAAGTACTTGATTGAGTCAGCCTGAAAACGTAGCCTACATTGTATATTTTCAGACCACTACACAATTGTTTTAATATTTTTAATGATACATCTTTAACATACTTCCCATGTTTGAAGATTATAAGCGAGGTTTTACTTGAATGATATTCGTCGGTGCTCAAATTAATGCATCTTTGCCTCCCAATTGTGATCTCGGCCTGGGCAAAACTAATTTCACTCCCTGCAAATTAACCCTGCGGCCAGCATGCCTCAGCCAGACGCTATCAGTGGGCTCCTGCGGTTAAACTGGGTGTGAACCAGCTCTTTCAAAGAATGCGACAACAACGGTGCCAACATCTACCAAGCCCCATCGGTGCACTGAGGGTTTCGCATCCAGGGTCTCGCCTAAAGGTGTTGGTGCAGCTCTTGATGGACGCGGGAAGGCTGTTGGGAGACGTTGTCACCTCAGTGGTTCTCCGAGAGGTTTAGTCCAAAGGCTCCGTGATGCCTCGTCTGATGTGTAGGGTGTAAGTTAGGGAACTGTTCTATTGTGCGATCTGTTTGTGTTAAGTTTGGTTTGTGGTAAATTTCATGTTACCATTTCCTGACCCTTAATCGTATTACAGGAGTAATGCAGCAGTGGGTGCCACTGTTGTGTTAGTGGATATCACATATCTGGTTTTGTATGTGTTGCGGCTATGAGCATCACTGCTAGGCTTGTTGTGGTAAAATGCAATCTTCTACCTGTGTGTGCAATAGTGCACATACATTTTTTGCATTAAAGTATTCAATTTATGTCAGATATGTGGCATTGATTTGTGTGCAGGGGACAGGGCCTGTCCTTTACCTTAGGGCGAGAAACTTTTTGTATCGGGTAATAGTTATGGCTTGGAGAAAACAAGCCTGTATGTTTCCCCATTTGTAACGGATACCCCAAAGTGAACTGGCTGTACCCCTGCATGTTCAGTTTGTTCCAGTCCAATAAAATTGTGGTTACATTTCAATTTTAAGTGTACAAGGGTGGCCTAATATCAATATTGGTCAATTGGTAAATGGTCACGTGACCTGGTGCTCAGCCAATGGGCTGAAATAATTATTTACAACTTTAAATTCAAGGAGGAGAAGAGAGGGGGGGGGTGCTGGTGGACCGGGCGGGATTCAGGGCTGGTCTACCAGTAGCTTGGTGGCAGGAGGTGGACAGGGACTGGTGTTCCTGCTGCCTTTTGGTGGTGGAGCGAAGGCAGTTAAAAATGTAATTTAAAAATAAACGTTGCACTGCAT